CCAATTTTGTACTTGTTTGTTTTTCGAACGTAAATGGGCTTTAATACATGTCTGGGCTAATCGCAAATAACTTATGATAATTTTATTTGACTGAACTTCAAAAAAGGTTTCCTTTGGGAAAGCGTTGGGCTGTTTGCTTTTTCTTTCACGATAAGTAAAAGATGGATGAAGAGCAAGCATGTTTTTGTGATGTGGATGTGGACATCTTTAGGTATTGAAATCTTTGTGATGAGGTGGAAATAAGCTCATATATCGATTAAATGTTACTTAAAAATTTTTTATTTCGAAAACGAAATGAAAAAGCTTTGCGTACCGTTAGTCCTTAATACACTTTACTGCTATTATCTGCGAGGAGAGACAATTTACTGCTTTCTATTAGGTTCCATTTTTGTTGACTGTATACTTTCATATATTTATTTATAAAACACTTCACTCAATAAGTCTCCGGTCTAACACACATATATATATATAGCAACATCATTCATTCCTAGATACGTACCAAAACTTCATGACATTCTGAAAGTTAGTTTACTAGTTATAACTTATTTGACGCTATTTTTGCTATTTTCGAAACATTTTAAAAATCTAAATTTCGTTTTTGATTAAATGTTACTTTTTAATGAGGAAAAAGCAACTTAAGCCTGAAAGATGTTATGGCAACTACGGATTGTTGATAAAGAAAATGAGTGACTATTTTATACAAATTCAGATGGACGCCGCTGATCATAAAGGCTCTGGTCGCCCGAATTCGGCAGCTGTTCTTGGAGGCATAAAAAACAACCAAAATCGTTTTAGAAGACCGAACACGTAGGTTACGTGAGCTATCTGACTCCTTAAAAATATCAAAAGGCAGCCTGTCCACTATCTTGCTTAAAGACTTTCTATGAGAAAGCTCTGTTCGTAGTGAGTGCCACGTTTGCTCACTTTGGAACAAATACAACAATGTTATGTAGCCGTATAAAATGTATATTTTCATGCGATGTATGAAAATGGGTGACACATGGAGTCAAGTCGACAATCAGACGAGTAAGCAGACTAAGAGAGCAAAAGTAGGATTAAAGGATCAAAAGTGGATACTGGTATAAGTACGTTTGAATATCGAAAAACAAGTTAAACCGGAAACTTATTGAGTGATGTGATATGCACTTTTTTACTTTTGCAAGTTCAACTCAAATTATTAAAACAATAAACAAAACGTACACAGAAATATGGAAGAATCCTTATATTGCATATATGAGAACATGCTGATGCATTTTCAGCAACTTTTACACTTATATATATATATATATATACGTATATATATGTATATATATCGCCTATATATGAAATGCACTTGTAATTATTATTATTATTACTCTTTTCGAATGCGATAAATGTATTGCATACATTTATGCATGCATGCAAGTAAGTACTTGGTAAACGTGTGGAGGTAAAGGTGCAACAAAATTTATAACAATCATTGCAGAATAAAATGTGTTTTCTCCTAGACGTCTAGACTACAGTTGAGTGCTTCTTTTTTGATGAGTATCCCATTCTGAGGCACAAAAAAGTGTAAATATGAAAAATTTAACAAAAAAAAAAAAAGCTTGAACACAAATATTACACATACACGGGTAAGAGCATGATGCATTTTGCAAGAGGAGAAATGTCGTTTTGTCGGATGCCTTCTTACTTCGTCAACACGTTATAGTAAAAATATGTTATGTGGTGAATGCTTTAAAGAGCAATAAGAATTTCACAGATAAAAAATAAAATAAAAATAAAGTAAAAGCAAGATAACTACTGAAGAAAGCTGATAAATTATTCGAAAGCATTTACAGATCCGACATAATCGAAAGGTATGGTTTAAAAGTAAGTCCATATGTTTTTCTTCATTTTATTTCAGACGTCGAATCCTGTGGGATAATCAACGATTTATGGTCAATAGCAGTGGTATGCATTTAGAAGAACTATTGATGCATACTTTTAGGAGTTAGATTAAAGTTCTACGTTGTTCTTCTTACTCTACGAGTTTAGCAAATGAACAATAAATGAATCACTAAGATGAGTTGATGTTACGTTGTTCAGGGATGTATGTGGCAATTAAACTAAGACATATTTAGTTGATTGACAGATAGAACTCATTCATTTAGTCGGTTTCACGTGTCCACCGGTGATATGTAAAAAAACAAAACAATTTTGACACAATAGTTTTTAAGAGACTTTTGACAAAACATACAGATGTGAAGATTCTTTCACTGTAAATTGGCATAACATCAGTTCCAGCGAGCTAATGATTAGTAATGTACTCCTCAGGGAGGTAAGTGCTTAGATATACCAATTCATTTGGCTTACAGGTGCGTGCGATTTTGCAGCTTTCAAGTAAAAAAGATCGCACCCTGCTGTCATTTGATTATTCGGTAATTGGAGACAAATTATGGAATCGTCAAAAGCCAGCGCCTTTAAGGCTATTTGGCTATCAGTGTATAAACAGCCACGAAGAAATACAGTAATGCTTGCTTAGAACTTGGGTTCTTCTTGAGCGAGCTAATATCGACCTCGCACCAACCTAAACCACCCGGCAAAGCCGAGACCTTAGAATTGTCAAACTGCTTGCATAGTGTTTCTTGAATACAATGAAGCTCTCGACGTGGCTTACAACCGCTTGCCAATAGCCTAGTCATCTTAGGCGTGGAGTTTTTAATGAAAATCGATTTTTTTGCATTAGCGCTACATATCGCATATAGTGATTTTTTTTTTTTTTTGACAAAAACTCTTTTTACTGCCCGAGCGTTTAAGTGAATTAAAGAGAATTTAAGCAATTGTCAGCCGTTTGGGCGAACGATTATGCGTAATTACAGTGCAATATCTTGAACAATTACACTACAATGCTTCTCAATCACGTCTGCGATTCAGTGACTCTTATCCTTAGCAAACCTCCAAAATATTTGATAGATTTTGTTCTGAGACCATTTTGTTACACAAAAATCCTTCACTTATCTCTTTCTGTGTGAGTCTGCTTTGCAAAAATAACAAGTGAATGGATATGCGTGCAATGTCAAAATCATATTAAAAGATGAAAATTAATGCACCCAACACTTTCTCGTAATCTCACATTAATGTGAATGATATTCAATTGGAAAAACAAATTATAGTTTTTGAAAAAAAGCAATCAAAAGTAAACAGACTATAGTGGGCCGCAGCTTATTATTAATGCGCTGCACCAGTCTACAGTCACGTAACGATTTTTCAAAGTAAGACGCTACATGGAAGGTGTTCAAAAAAATGGTCTCGATTCCCACCATTTTCATTAGCATTCCTCCTTGGACCAAAACATGCTTGTGTACCAAATTTCATTAAAATATCTCAGAATTGTGACTTGTGGATTGAACCCAAGAAAACAAAACCGGCAGACTGATAGACAAGCTTGGATCGAGTCAGAAAGTGATTTTGAATTGATCGATGCAATAAAAGGCGGGTGTGTTTCATGGTCTCGTGGATGTTGCACAAACACAACGCAAGAAAACTGCACGGACAGACAGACAGACAAGTTTAATCCGATTTAGAAGTGATCATGAATCGATCAGTGGAATAAAAGATAAGTCACACATATTTAATATATCCTCATACCGTGAGCAGTGCAGAGCACAACAAAAAAATACACAAACAACCAAATAAAATAAAGCTTCCTAAATCGGAATCAGACTTCACCGTTTAACCCATTATATCAGCATGAAAGCGTATAGTGTCCCTTTAGCAAATCCAAAAAACCAATTCGTACATTTTCCGAAGATTGTCCTGAAGTTAGGTTTGATCGAATTACATAATTTTGGTAAATTTCAAAATTTTTATTGAAAAACTCATACTATTATATAAATAGTGAATATTAACAAAACATGTTACAAACATTTTGTGATAGTGACATGTGCGAAATCTGCATGAAAGTACTTTAAGAAATTCTGTACATGCAGTAAAGTGTTGTCATGCATTTTTCTGAACCGGCGAGTAGTGACCAAGATTCGCTTCGAAGCTTGGCTGTTTTTTTCTTTCTTTTTTTTCTCAATTCACAAATACACTTACAAGCTTATCATTGCATAACAATGGATTGCATGCCTGGGACAAGTTGAGTGTAGTAACTTCATGATTGAAAAATGAATGCAGGTCAGTAGTTAAAATGTGATAAAAATGTATATATATATATATATATATATATATATATATAGATATATGTTTTTTTTTTCTTAAATTTTCCTTTCATATACAAATTGCTTTTGTAAATCAAGAATCTGAACAGTTGTTGTGTCACTACACTAAGTATAGTGACATGGTGTCATATAGTAATGCGAGGAAAATTGTATGGACAAGTAACGTAGGATGGTGAGAAGAGATGACACAATATTATAATAATTTGTACGTCGAGTAAATTCTTTATATTTTCAGGATACAGAATACAAAAAGTAATAGTTTTCGACTATTATCGAACAATTGACCCAACAAAGTTTTCCCGTGCAAAATTCAATTCAATACTCAATCACGCAATAAAGTAAAAAAAAAAAAAAAAAAGAAAAAGAAGAATCGCATAAAACGTGACATAATAATAAACGTAACACAATAAAGTTTTCTTTTTCCTTTTTTTGCGAAACAGAACAATAGAAGAAAATTAAAAGTTAAAAATTATAAAATTTAAAAGTTAATCGTTTGTAAATTCTTCATATATACATACGAGTGTTAAAAGGAAAGGTGACTTTTCAAATTTCGTGGGCTACGTGCGTTCGAGGTTCGAATTTGTTTTGTTATGCTGGTACAGATGGCTATGTTTAATTTGTTTTTGACAGACATAAAGGTTAGACGTGCTTTAGTGTGTGCTTGGCGGCTTTTTGTTATCAAAAAAAAAAAAAAAAAAATGGATTAGAGAAACTCGATTTACTTTTGCGTGTAAGAATTAAGTCAAGTGTTCCAATTCACTTAAAATATTGATTGTATGCTTCATTTGGGTCTACTTTGAGCTAGACAAGTGCTTGTTAGTTCCACAAGCTCTTCATGGATGACGAAGCCCGCTCTAAAATTTTGAAAAAGTGGAGGGAAATTTTATTGGAATCAATTCTAGAGAAGTTGCTGAATATATTGGCATATCAGTGGTATGAGGTGGGGGGATGAAAGATGTGACAACGAAGTTTGTTCAGAAATTGCTAAATTTCGACCCAAAGAACTGTCACATGAACATTGCTCAGGAGCTATTGAATGAATGGCCTCTCAAGGACGGCCCAGATTTGCTAGAAAGTGTTATAAATGCCGATGAAACATTAATATATGTGGTTGTGATGTCGAAACCGAAGCCCGATCATACCAATAGATGAGCCAAGACTGAAAAGGGCACACTTAGCTCGGGCATATGCGAAGGTTTTGCTCACTGTTTTCTTCGATTACACTATCATGAGTGCTTATTAGAAGGTCATACGATCAGTAAGAAAGATTACCTGGAAACTATGCGCAATTTGCATGAAGCAATTTGAAAAAATACCCTAGATTGCGGAATAACAAGTCATGGATACTGTACTACGATAATGTGCCAACTTGCACGTCCTTGCTTGTTCGTAATTTTTTGGCCAAAAACAACATCGTAATCAAGCCTCAGTCATCGTATTCGCCACTTTCGAGCTCCTACGATTGTTTCCTGTTACCTAAACTGAAAAGACCCACGAAAGAACGCAGTTTTGCCACGACTAAGCGGATAAAGACTGCATTCGTGGAGGAGCTTGAGGTAATATCAAAAGTCGTATATCAGACGTGCTTTGTGTGTTATGTGTAAGTTCCATTACTTTGAAAGGGTTAAAGTAGATATCGATGGATAAATAAATATTTTTCGGGAAAAATAAAAGGACACCTCTTTTCATGACCGCACCTCGTATGTACAAAGGATAGAAAAGTTTTGTTGTGTCACGATTTGCTATATATTTCGTTGAAGCCTAAGACAAGAATGAAACGACGAGATAGATGTGTGTGTAGATGTATAAAGTAAGGGAAAACATCGTAATATTAAACTTTATTATGGCACACCTTTGATTTTTTTTTTTTTTTTTTT